TTCTTTTTTTTTTTTTGTCTTTATTGATTTCAGAGAGAGGAAGGGAGAAAGAGATAGAAACATCAATGATGAGAGAGTCATTGATCAGCTGCTTCCTGCACGCCCTGCACTGGGGATCGAGCCCGCAACCTGGGCATGTGCCCTGACTGGGAATCAAACCATGATCTCCTGGATCCTAGGCCAATGCTCAACCACTAAGCCACACCAGTAGGGATATGTAATATACTTTTAAATACATATAAGTAAATTAATAAAGATTATAAGTAGAGATTTGGATTTTATCTACAAGTTTGGGGTTTTTTAAGTTAAACAGATTTTCTTTTTTATTTTCTCATTGAAAGGGTAAAGTCTTAGATTTGAGCTCACCTTTTTGACATTTTACAGAAATTAACTGCTGCTCAGTTGCTCTGCTGAAGCAAATTCCCCTTTCCCTTCTCGTTTTTTAATTTCAGGGAGGTTTAAAGAATGTGTACTGGCGAGATTTAGAAAACACTACAGAGAACTTCCATTCATAATTCTTTGTTTAGCAGTCTAATAACTATCTTTCCGGGAAGATGTGCTGAAATGTATCTATCTGTATCTTAGTAACCTTCTAGTGTTTGTTAATAATAAAAGATGGCTTTTTTTTTTTTTTTTTTTTCCTAACAAAGTATGAGCATTTTGGAGATTTGGTAAGTTAGTAATCAGAAGTGTTTTGCAGCCCAGCCGGGCGTGGCTCAGCGGTTGAGCGTCGACCTAGGATCCAGGCGATCGGGGTTCGATTCCCGGTCAGGGCACATGCCCGGGTTGCGGGCTCGATCAATGACTCTCTCATCATTGATGTTTCTATCTCTCTGTCTCTGTCTCCTTTCCTCTCTCTGAGATCAATAAAGATATAAAAATAAAGTGTTTTGCAAAACTTGGTGAGTTCACATCTGTAGCTAAGGTGCTGATGCATTGTTTAGTACCATGCCCAGAACTATGTGTCCGATACACTAACCATTGGCCGCATGTGGTTACTTAAGTTTCATGTAATGAAAATTAAAAATCCAGTTCCTTGGTTACAATAGCACTTTGTGGCTGGTGGCTGCATACCTAGAACAGTTTTTATACTTGCAGAAAGCCTCATTGGACAGTACTACTCTATGAAAAACAGAAAGTCGTCCCTCCATTTCCCCCCCCCCATGTCATTAAAGCATCTTGGAATCCTCACTTGTTGCATTTGAATTCAGTTTCTGTCTACCGTGGTGTTTGCAGATAGAGCAAACATGAGTTTTCTTTATGAAGTCGAAACATAGTAAATGTAGATGTCCATTTTGTGGATCTCCTGTACTTCTATGTTAACGGGGTTTTGTATAAAAATAATTGTTCTGTGCCGCAAAACAGTGTTAAAATAGGAGTCAAATATTTGTAGCTTTTTGGTTCTTAAAAATCTAGAGAAATCATGAGCTTAAATTGTCAGTTCCAAACAAAAGCTAGACAACACTCACTTTATTTTCATGTGAGTTTCAAAGAGAAGAAAAGCCCGGTCCCAGGGAACTCTCCATCTTTCTGCGGAACTAAGAACGGTGATGGCAGGAGTGCCGGCTTGCGTGGCAGGTGGAGGGGAGGTTTTAAGCTTGGGACCGGCATGATCAGATCTGGCTGCATTCTCAAGGGTGGTTTGAGGCAGGGCTAGAGGTGGGGGTATTGGGGTGGCCCAGCTGAGAAGAGGCTTGAGCTGCCAGCGGCAGTGGCAGTGGGGAAGCAGCAGCTCTAACAGTCCTGTGAAGGACAGGAGTTGGTGGCCCCTTACAATCGAGAGGGAGAGAGAGAAAAGAATCGTAAGATGATGGCTTATTTTTGCTATAGTGGTAGATGGCACAAAAGGACAACTGTGAGAAGGTAGAGGTTTTAAAGGTACGTAAATCTGGCCCTGGCCAGAGTGGTTCAGTGGTTAGAACGTCGGCCTGCAGACCAGAGGGTCTCAGGCTTGATTCCCCGTGAAGAGCTTGTACCTGGGTTGCAGGTTCGATCCCCGGCCTGGTTGGGGTGCGTGCGGGAGGCAACCAATCGATCTCCCTCTCCCTCTCCCTCTTTCCTCCTCCCCCTCCCTCCCTTCCACTTTCTCTGAAAAATAACCAATGGAAAAATGTCCTCCAGTGAGGATTAAAAAAGAAAAGAAACAAATCTGGGCACACTGAATTCAGATGTTTGCAGCACCCAGGTAGAGATGTCCTTTCGACGTGAGCTCAGGAAGGTGATCTGACTAGAGTGTGCGTCTTGGGTGAGTAGTCAGTGATGTAGGGAATGTGAAGGGTGAGAGTCAGACC